AATGAAGATTGACCACCAGGCTGGTCCAATTTAACCATGAAACCTCCCACACTGAAATGACAGGTGTTTCAGTTCCATTGTCTAACCCCTGAATCTAACTAAACAAAACAGACAGTTCACAATTTCAATAGCTACAATCTGATTCCTTCGCCCCGATGCCTTAAAGAACCAATTTGTGAGTCACAGACTTCATCTACTGTGTTTCCACTGATAAAATCTCCAGTAGGTACAATGGTTTGTGCATACATGCTCACACTAGCATCTGCACAAAGTTCGCTACGAAGGCAGACATGGCTAGGGCAGGTGGCGGCATACCAGTCCACTCTTTGGCGTCAAGTTCCAACCTTGTTGTGTCTGTTTGCTCATCTTTGATCTGTGTAGTACTGACATGTATTTGATGTTTTTTTAGGTGGAGCTACACAGGACACTGATGATTAGAAAACTCTATCAAACCTGCTGAAGTAGGAGGGTGAGATTAACATGATCTCAGGAAGAGGCAGCACAATGTGGTGTGGTCAAGTACAATGGAAAGTATCATGTGAATACTTTCAGTACTAAAAGGAAGTAAACAGATGAACTCACTGTTTAATAGAAGCAACCCTTCATGACCTTCAAAGTATTTAGAGAAGGCCCAAAATAAAACAAAAACATTGAAGTTAGAGTTTTATTTAAAAGCAAAAAAATAATAAATAAATTGATTTTTTCTTTCAGTTGTTTTATCCCTTATCCATTTTCTCTTGTGTTCACAAACTCWCTCTGTCAGTATGTTGTTAGGAGAGAAATATGTGTAGAGGCACTAACAAGGTGGCTTACAGCCAACAACTACTCACATGACCAGTCAAAAGTACTCAACCAGTCTGAAACATTTTTACCTTTATGCCTCTGAAAGCACACAATCTTGATTTAGTTTTCACAGCTTTGTTGTGTGGTTGCTCTCGATGTCTTCTGACACCACAGTGGAAATTATTGCAAAACCCACATCAAATACAAGCTTGACTACAACTGAAAATCATGAATTATCAAAGAGCAGATAAGTAAAACTGCACTGTGCTGTTTTACCYAGGTAAACATTATTTGCATCTTATATCAAGCACTATATTCTTCTAACCTGTAAATAAGGAAATTCACAATGTTCTTGAGAACAAACGTTATTACTGAAATTATATATGTTTTTATTTGTCACATTGTCAAACAGTAACAATGCTCACAACAAGCAGACCAGCACAATAAAATGTAACTCTAGTTTGACTAAAGTTTAACTCTTAGAAGGTGAGTTGAGTAGTTTGTGATTATCTTGTGGCAGCATAAACCACATTGGGGTCCAGTTCACTGTTTGCTACAGGCCTCCTGTTGCTTCTAACTTTGAGGCGGAAACTCAGCRCTGCATAATTCGGTTCTTCAGAGCCCAGGTTCTGTAAATAAARAGGTTTACAGTGAATTTATTACGTTGAAGACAAAATACATCACACAATGTATGTTAGTCAAAATGTAATCACCTCATTGTGTTGATCCTGCATTTCARTTTGAGCTGAATAAAAAGCAGTTTAAGTTATTTTTTTAAGTTTTGCATTTGTGAATTTTTTTTCCTTCCCCAACAAACAATTACCTGCAGTCCTGAATTTGACAACCAGTGCGATTATCACCAATCCAAGGACAACAATTACACTGCCCAAAATCCCAATCGGCAGTTCAGGTAATCTATCAAGCCCATCTACAAATAGGACAAGTAAAAAACTTTAATATGCAGAATTAATCAAAATCAGTACAATAACAATGACTGAAATGWAAAAAACAACAAAAACATTAAGTTTACCTTCAACCTTTAAATAGGTTGCACTAAATATTCTGTGGGCTTCYGACATGTATAATCCACAGAAATATATTCCAGAATCAGAGAAGTCCACCTGTTTGATGTTTAGAAAGACCTTTGTGGTGTTGGATGTCATAATAAATTTGTCGTGTTCAAATCCGTCTAATATTGAGGCATTAGATTCTGAACTGCTCATAGATGAGATGCGGCTGATGTTGTGTCCGTTGGCGATTTTAGACCAACATATGTGGCCAGTTGAACTACTCATATTGTTGCACTGCAGTGTGACCTCTTCTCCAGGCTGAGCCTCCACTGTGTTAAATTCACAAACTGACACACAGATCCAACCTGAAAGCAACAATTAAAATGTTGATTGTAATAAGAACCAAACTGAGCCAATGAGAAAAGTCRGTAAATACTGGTGGATCCCTATGCACAAGAGAGAAAATAATTGTMTTTAAAAAAACATCTTTTACTTACTGAAAGTGCAGAGTAAAGTCAGAACRAAGGTAAAGTTCACCATTGTGAGTACAACACGACTGCGTCAAAGCAGTGATAGTAACTGATGTGTGCTCAAGCTACAGTGATATTACCGTAAGGAGGTGTGGCAATCTTTACAGTATATCTTTGGTGGCGTAGAAAGAATTAAACAAGAAATGTGACATGGTTTGGTGGAAAGGTGGACCCAAATACAGGCAGGCGAGCAGGCTCAAACTAAAGAGACTTATTAAAGTAAAGACCCCCCCCCAACGATTGTCTCCAGATGACAAAATACAAACACGGGAGGGTGGAGGGGTAAAGACAGGACAGAGGGCAAGAGACCGAGACCATGATGAAGACAAGACTCRGGAGGGAACTAGAAAAAACAGAACAACCAACCAAACTGACAGGTAAAGCCCTGAGAAAATAAACACAAAATCTCAAAATGAAATGATGTAAAGATGACCCTAGGCACATCTGGCCAGTGTTGTATAAAGTACCTCAAAGTGAAACTTGAGTAAAAGTACAAGAATCTTATCATAAAATTACTTTGGTAAAAGTTAAAGTCTCCTCTAAGAATATTACTTGAGTAAACGTCTTAAAGTATCCATTTTTTTGTACTTACGTATCAAAAGTAAATTTCTGACATAAACCTACTTAAGTATTAAGAGTAAAAGTATTGAGTAACAGTGAGTGGTTAGATTTTCCAAAATACACTTATTGGGAGGCGACCTCCAAAAAGTATTTTTTCTACAAACATGCAGCTGTGATGGATTGTGTACAAATTAATACAGTATCAGAAGGGAATACATTTATATGTCTCATCYATCTACAATTAAATTCACTCTATCCTGGATGCACAGTTTATCAGGATAGTATTTTTTAACACTAACAAAATAGGAGAAACGACTTTCTACTTMWTACCTTTTTAAAAAAATGTAAGGAGTAGGAAGTRCAGAYAACTGTGTGAAAATGTAAGAAGTAGAAGTAAAAAGTAGACTGAAAAATAATTRCTCAAGTAAAGTACAGATACACAAAAATTCTACATAAGTACAGTAACAAAGTATTTGTACGTAGTTACTTTACAACTCTGCATCTGGCGGGAGGCAGGAACTCAGGAGATTGGCCCAGGGTCCAGTTGAAACGAAGCTGGAACTCGAGAGGTTGACCTGGGGTCCAGCCAAAGCAGAACAGGAACTCGGGAGGTCAGCCTGGAACCCAGCCGAGGCGAAGCAGGCGAAAAACAGGTCAAGATTGAGACTTAAGGGCAAATGTCTTAGATGTGAAAACTGGGGACTCGTGGGTTACAGACACTGATGACTGTGAGGTGAGTGTAGATGATTCTGGGACAGAAGACTCTGATGACAGAGCTGTTGGGAATGACTGGTAAACTGATGATGATGGCTGAAGGGTTAAWATGGAACCAGATGACTCGGGATGAGCGAGTACACCACTATCTGTATCTGTATGTTTCTGTTTGTTATGTTATGTATCTGTTCAACCATCTAAATTATCTATCTGTATCTGTACTCGGAGTGGGCGGGGCCTAAACCGGATGTAGGTGTGGTTTAACCGGAAGTTGGCAGGGTTTAAATCTGTACATTGTTTTCAGTCTGAAAATGATATGGATTGATCAGAAGTTGCTATATGTATTGTTTGTTTGAATGTTATTTACATACCAGCCTCAAAAATGAGATTCAAATGTTTTTAATCACAAAAGTAAAAAAAAATTCATGTTCTGAGTTTAAAAAAGCTTRTTCTGTAAGTACTTTAAGTGCCTGAATGAATACAAGTCATGAAGTAGGAAATTATGAACTACTGAAGTATGCATGAACAAGAATTTCCATACTCAGTACAACTTCTTTTTTAATTTTTTTATTTTTATTTTATGATCAAACTGATTTTTTTGTCTTTCAATTATTTATTTAGTTTTACTACCTAATGTTCTTGGCTTTTATCCCCCCACACAAAGTTAAACAATGTTGATAATGTTAAGGTGTGTGTGTGTGTGTGTGTGTGTG